TAAAGAAATCTAAAAATAGGAAGGCACCAGGAGAAGGATCCTCTCAGAGGACACCTAAAGCTGCGAAAAAGAAAGGTAATTCATCTTCTGTCTCTGTTATAGAATCAATAACTGTTTCCACATCTGAAACCATTTCCCCTCAACCAACTGAAAATCCTTCACCCCAAACCTTTGAAGATTTTGACATAGAGTTTGATCCATCTGTAACTCTAGGAAACTTTTTGAATGAACCTCACTCCCCCAATCAAAATCCAAACCCAGAACATCATCAACCAGAACTTGCCAAAGTTCTATCTAACATTAAACTGTTTGATCAAGACTTTTCCTCTCATATAACAGAAAATACAAACACTCAACAACAACCAGAAAATCCACAACCACACTCTCCTCAACCAGAACATTTGAACCACAACTCACCACAACCAGAAAATAGACACTCTCTCTCTCCACCTTCTGAAAACCCATCTTCTGAAATTCCTGAACCAGAAACTCAACACGCTACCGCAAACCAATCTGAAGATTCTCCTTCAGATTCTGATACCACTATCCCAATCCCTGGAATAATAGAACCTCTTTCGGTTCGTTTACCTCTCATTATTCATGATATTCCAGAAATCCCTTCATCATATGAATCCACACCACCAAACACCCCAAACACACCAATTATTATTTCTGACTCTCCCACTCCATCACCCATTAACCGTCCAACTGACAACCTCAGACTTGTCATTAATCCACAAGTGCTGGACAGACTAGCTTTCACCTCACACAAAATTGTCATTCTCAAACCTAAACCAACTGCAACCAAATCAGATGTTGGTAAGAGTCTATTGACTTTTGAAATAAAAATGCAGGAATGGATCAATTCTTTGAAGCAAGCAAGTCAAGAGATTTCTAATCCTGCTGCTTCTGATTCTCTGTGGGAAAGATTCAAAAAATGGCTCGACTCTGAAACTCAGAAGCTGAAAGAATTGGGTTATAAAAGGGCTCAGCAGAACTTCAGTGATCAGCTGAAAGCCTTCCAAGATCATGTTCTGAGCCAATGATGCAAGAAAGAAATTCTTCCGCTGGATAATGCTCCCTGGAAAGAGCATCTTCCTTCAGAAGTAGCTGAACCAGAATCAAATAGTCTCTCTCTGACTACTGCTCCAGAAGACATGATTGTAGCAGAAGAAGTGGTTCAATCAAAAAAGGATGCAGAATGTTCTGAACAACATACAACCCCTGAAGAGACACCAGCTTCGTCTCTAGTCATGCAAACTCTGGAAGAGTTAAAAAAAGAGAATGCTCTAATCCATGTCCGACTGGATAAGCAAGAGGATACGAACAAAGAGATCAAGGGTATTCTGGATAAACAAGAAGATACTACAAAAGAAATCAAAGACATTCTGGGCAAGTAGGAAGAGTCAAGCACTCAGATCAAGAGCTTGTTGGAAGCGTTGTTCACACGTCTTCCCCCTCCTTCTTAGATTTTCTTTAAAACTGTTTATCTGTAACTTTTATATTTACCTCCTTGTTTCTGAAACTTATCATTGTATTCTGTTTTCAATAACAGTATACCGGGACAAAGTCTCAAATATTATGAATATTTTAATCTCTGCTTTCTGAAAAGTTTGAACAGGAACACATTCTGATAGGAGATGCATAAAAAGCTCTAATGAGAAGGACCTTCAGGGAAGTAATCAACTCAGGGGAGTCTCTCTTAAACTTTTTGTTCTCTATTTTTCATTGAAAATTCTAGTTTTTGTCATCATCAAAAAGGGGGAGATTGTTAGAACATAGTTTGATTCTACAATCCTTAGTTAGAGTTTTAATGATAACAAACACAAAGAACAAATATGCACTCTAAATTATGTTATTTTGTATGCAGAAGTTCTGACCAAAGCAGCATCAAAAGTTAAGCTATTGAAGCTTTTACGCTGAGGTAATCAGAATTTGCGTTGAAGATTGATGATCAGAACCTGCGCTTAAGTTAAGAAAACTCTGATTCTGAACAGACGGATCATAAACAATCAGATCCTCACTTCTCTAAGTCATCAATGTTCTGAAGCATCTGCAGCAGGCAAGGATGTAGGATTCTGAAGCGTTACTATTCAATCAAGACAGCATCTCATGCAACGGCTTCATTCAGACATGATCTTCTCAATATGGAAACTGCTTGAATGTCCATTATCACGCTTAATGTTGGACTTGATTCCTTTGCCTATATAAACAAGCTAAGAGATCAAATCGTTTACGATTTCAACACACTACTGCAATACAACTCAAAACGCTGCAAGCTTAGTCACTTACTTTCTACGCTCTAAATTTGTGTAAATTATCACAGTTGTGATAACTGTTTTTGTAACGAAAATCAACTATACACAAAATTCTTGTATCTTTGATTAAGACAGTTTTTCCTTGAGATTAATCGGATTGTGGTTGTACTCAAGAGGACTTTGACAGTTGTCAAAGTAGTGATTGTAATCTGTTTGTGATTAGTGGATTAAGTCCTCGTTGGAGAGAGGCGAATTCACCTTGACGGGTGAACTGGAGTAGTTTGAGATCAAACGAACCAGGATAAAAATACCGTGTCATTGCGTATTTGACTTTAAGTTTTCAATTCAACCCCCCCTTCTTGTGTTTTTCACTTCTTCACAACATGCTTTTATACAATTTTCCTTTGACACTTTTAATTTTCTAGCACCATAAAATTTATACGGCAATGTTGTGTCCCTTAAAACAATTAATCTGGTTTTTAAAAGAATTGGTTTTGTCATCCAAATTAAAAAAGGTAGTGGCATAATTTGTTGTTTGTTTGTTATTTCTATAAAATCTTGATTTTTATTAAGTAATGAATATCAAAATATTTAAGACAATATTTTAAATAATTAAATTTTGTATTTTTAATAACCCGATTTATTAATCTTTGAAAATACTTGTGTTCGTTTGGTTGTGAGTTGGAAGACATCTAACGGAAATTGAGAAGCTCAAACTCAATTCCACCACTAAATCAATATGTTTGTTCTCTTAATTTGTCTAAGCAATGTGACTAGTATTTAATTTCTCATCAACCCAAGTGCACATATTCATTTTGGGAAAATGACATGGGCTCGTTCGATAGTTCCTTTTTTCTAATAGAATACCTGATTCTTTTTTAAATATTGAAGAAATATCTAGATTTACACATATGTTAATATAAAATTGTTTAAATATTTTTTACTATTTTTATCTAATTATAAAAAAATTAATAATGTAAATTTAATAAATAATGTAAAAAACTAATAAATAAGTTTAAATAAATATTTATAAAAGGAAAAAAAACTAAATTTAAAATTTATTTTATTAATAATAGATTCAAAAATAATTCTATTCAAATACTTCACGTTCAACATACTTTTAAAAATATAATTATACTTAATTATTACTAGTTTTATATTATATTTTATGAAAATACACATTAAAATTAATTTGATAATTATATTTTATGAAAATACACATTAAAATTAATTTGATAATTATATTTTAAAAATAATTTTAATTTTAATTATTCAAAGAACATTAAATAATAAAAACCAGTTTTTCCGTTAATGTATCATGATAAATTAATTCACGTCCATTTGATTTATGAGAATAATAGTTCAAGAGAATTTAAACGAGAATAATAGTTATTATTTTTTAGAGAATAACCATACACATTGGCTTCCATTCTTGTGTTTTGTTGATTTGGCATAAGTACTCCATGATTAATTGTACCTCTAATGTACCTAAGGATCCTCTTTGCGGCAAGTAGATGACATAGTCTCAATTTCTTCTTGAATCTACTAACCAATCACATACTATTACAAATATCAGACCATGTATTGCAAAGACACCTCAATGAGCCAATAACCTACTTGTACAGAGTGTTATCCACCCGTTCATCATCTAAATCCTTCTTCAATTTGATGTTGGTCTCTATAAGAGTGTTAGCATGATTGCAATTGCTCAACTTGAACTTCTTCAGGAAGTCTTCTGTATATTTCTTCTAATGCAAGAAAACTCCATTATCGCGAACTTTGCCAATTCAACTTCATTAGAACATATGACCGATAAATCATCCACATAGAGACTTAAGATAACTTTTTCTTGTTCACTTGAGCTTTTCACATACACTCCATGATTTGATGTGCACTTGTTGAAACCTAGTTTGATCAAGGAGCTATCAATCCTCTTGTTTCATGTCATATGTGCTTGCTTCAATCCATACAAATATTTTCTCAACTTATACATCATCCTCTTTGGACCTTTCCCTTTAAAACCGGATGGTTGCTTCATATAAACTTCTTCTTCTAGGAGTCAATTAAGGAAGGTTGACTTTACATCAAGTATATGCATCTTCCAACCTCTATATGTTATAATGGGTACAAATTGTCTTATGGTCCCAAGGCTATAAAATGGTGCATAAACTTCATTAAAATAAATTCTAAGCTTTTGAAGAAAGCCTTTTTCCACAAATTTTGCCTTATGCTTGAAAATTTCACCATTTGGCTTCTACTTCAGCTTGTAAACCCACCTGAAATATATTGCATTCTTTCTTGAATAGTTAAATAGTTCCCAGGTTTTGTTCTTTTAAATGGCCTTGTTCTCTTCATTTATTACACCTTGCTAATTCTCATCTTTCATGGCTTGAACATGATTGGATTGGCTCCAATTCATCCATCATAGCTTCTTCAATTAGATCATCATTTTCTCATATGGCTTGGTCTGGAAAAATTTCATGATCATTAAGTATGACTAGTTGATTTTTGGATCTTGATACTTTTCTCACCTTTCGAGGTTGTGCATGTTCAGTCTCAGCTTCTACTACTTGCTCATCATCTTGAAAAGTGATGTTGGGTAGACATATGGAATAGAGGAACATTCTAGAGGAGGGTGAGTAGACCCTTTTTAAAAATTGACTGATTTTCAAAATGAAATAATATACTTTTTCAATGGGAAAGTCTTATAAAAAAAGACTTTATGCCTGGATTGGAAATTAATCATGAATACTTGTTCACCAAAGCCTTTGCATGGGCTTCAGAGCACAACAGTAGGGCCAACATTGAGATCTTGGAAGGAGTCTGTCTCAGTTGTTCAACCACATTATAGTCTCTCTTTTTGATGATCTTTAAGATTTCTTCCATTTCCCTCTTGGAAGCCTCTAGAATGGATTCTGAATGCGCCTTCGTCTGGACAGGCTCAACCAATATGTATTTCCCACGAGTCTCGACCGACTTGGTGGAAGGGGTTGCAACATGAGTAATCACAGGAGTTGTAGTTATAGTATTATCTGGAACGGCAGTAGGAATGATCACAGGAATAGTAACAGCTTTAGGAGGAGAAATCTCGGGTGAGAATACTCTTCTGCTTCTTGTTATTTTACTGGTCCCAACGATATTGCCGATGTCGGGATCAGTATTTCCAGAAACTTCATCTTCAACAGCCAACAGGTCTTGCTTGACGCCATGGTAATAGACGCCAGCCCCATAATTCCAGGGAACAACTTTGTCCGAGGAATATGGTATTGGCCCTGGCGTAGTGATGATCAGGGGAGCCAAGTCTGGAGCAGATGTAATCCTGACGGGTCTTTTGGTGGAGACCCTGAAAGGATTTGACGAAATGGTTATAATCGAAACATATTTACAGGAAACAGTTGTGACATGAGTCTTCTCAAATAGAATCTCTTTATCATCTATCAGGCGCTGGACAACTTCTTTCAACAAATAGCAACCAGTCAATAAACATAAGTGGCAATCTTCATCACAGCCCGGAAATAAACCGGCTTGCAACAAATTCCACTTAATATTCATGAGAGGAGTAATAAGCTCTTCAACAGAAGTAACAAATGTATCATTGTCAACAGCATTAACACCATGGTCGTGCTTGGGCATGGGAACATTTATAACATTGGGAATCTCAGGAGCATCAAATTCAATCTCCTTTGCCTCTTTCTAATCTTGCACCTTATTCTTTAAAGCCCAACAGTCATTTGTATCATGGTCTGGACTTTCTGAATGGTAGGCACATCGAGCATTTGGGTTGTAGCGAGGAGATGTAGTGTTGGGATTCTTGGGGGCTTCCCTCAAAGTTACCAGATTGGACTTCAATAAGTGTTGTAAGACTTGAGACAAAGTCATATTGATCCGGGTAAATTGTCTCATAGGCCTCTCTACTTTGGGCTGATTGTTCCACTGTTGAGTAGCTGCAGACTTGGATATCATTATAGCCCCTACCATTGGACGGTGTTGGTTTCTGCCCTGATTTCTTTAACTGTAAACAGCACTAACCTCTTTCTTTCCCACAAAAGGTCTCTTTCCTGCACTTGAAGAGGCCTCCTTTTAAATCTTGCCACTTCTAATACTAGCTTCCACTCTTTCTCCAATTAGGACCAGCTCAGTAAAACCAGCTGAGGAGCTTCCAATAAAATGGTTGAAAAACAGACCAGATAGAGTACCCAAGAACATATCCACCAACTCCCTATCGGACAGAGGGGGTTGAACTCTTCCTGCTAGGTCTCTCCACTTCTGGGCATAGTCTTTAAAACCCTCGCTCGAACCTATAGACATACTTTAGAGTTGTGTATGGGTGGGAGCAAGGTTTGCATTATACTGATACTGATTGTAGAAGGCAGCAGTCAAGTCTTCCCAGTTAAGAATATTGGTCCCCTCCAGCTGATAGAACCAGTCTAGCTGATTCCCAGATAAACTGTCTTGGAAGAAATGGACCCGTAAATCCCTATCGGCAGTGTGGGGCTGAATGTTCTTCACATAAGATCGGAGATGCATCTTGGGACATGAAACTCCATCATATTTAGCAAACACTGAAACCTTGAACTTCTGCGGGATGACAACCCCAAAAACCAAGCACATCTCCTAAAAATCTAGTCTAGGTACTTTTTGGATTTCTATTGTATTCAGACGATCCTCTAGCTTTTTGTATTTATCATCAGCAGGAGGATATTGCTCCTCATCATAATCAGATTCATCATCAGATTCCTCTGGGATGAGGTCTTCCTCTCTCGTCTCCCCTTCCTGATTGTCTCATTCTTTTGATGAAGTTGCTAGTTTTGACGCTCGCCGCACTAGCGTAGAATTGGGTTTCAAAGGTATCCCGCTCTTCTTTGAGTTGGATCCAGGATTTCTGTAGCTCCTCGAAATCAGTTGGCATGTCAGGATGAAGAATAATGTAAGGAGTGTCTCCCTCAGCAATTGGCTCCATAATTACATGTAAGACGGCGGGGTAAGGCATCATAAGACATTGAGTATGAGCTCGCACTCATTTGAGGTAAGGCTCAAGAGGGATGGAATACTTGTGCCCCAGTGTCTTGCTATCAACTCTGTTTACCATGTGTGGTACGGTGGGAGAACTGACTTTTTGTTTTGCGTTTGTGTTCGCGAATGTTGCGGTTTAGCAAAAGTCGCCACTGACTTTTATTTTATCCAAAAGGAAAGGTAAAAAAGCACAGGAAAGACCTTTAGAGATGTTTCCTTGAGTTCGGGGGGTAGATTATGAAAAGGGAAGGTGTTAGCACCCTTTTCATCCATGGTTTTCCATGGGCTCTTAGTTACTCGCTAGATCACTTGCTTTTGTTTGAAATTGTGCTTGTGGTGTGGGTTTTTGAAAGTATTTTGAAAACGTCTTTGTAATGGTTCTCGTCTCAATAAGAACGCATACAAAGTGTTTGTTTGGAAAATAGTTCAAAGATGTGTTTGTGAAATGTGTTTTTTGAAAGTGATTTTTAAAACGTGTCTTTGTAATGGTTCTCATCTCTATAAGAACGCGTACAAAGTGTTGTCTTTCAAAAATGTTTTCAAAATAAAAGTGTGGGTGTATAAAAATGTTTTTGTTATGAGCAAGCGAGCAACTAGGAGCATCTACCTACTCGAAAGGTCTTAGATGTTCTTTTTCTCCTCCTTTAGATGTTGCTATCTTACCATTTGATTTGGTAAGAAGCCCCATTGTTGGATGTTTAAGGGACGAGTGTGGGACGTTTTCATAGTCATAGAAGGTAACCTATGGGACGTTTTAACAATGTCGTTTTAGGGACTAGATCGTTTAACAAAGGCAACATCGAGGGACTACGATCTTTTATCGAGGGTCTTTTGCTAAAACGCCCATGTTCGAGGTACATGAATATTTTTCGATAGGCCACAAAGTGGGATTACCCTAAGGGTGCTAGTGTGCAAGTGTCTTTGATTGCATGCATTTTAGTCTTGATTAGGGTGATCTATTTGTCGATTTCATATCTTTCCATACACACCCTAGTTACTAACAATATATGAAAGTAATAAAAGTGCTGAAAGTAAAGATTATACGCTATTACAATCATTATGGGGGTAGGGTGTACAAATTTTACAAATGGGGGGTTGCAAGAAAATAAATCCTAATTATTTATTACAGCCATATTGAAATAATAATGCATGAAAGAAAAAGGACCTTGTTTAGAAAAAAAAATGGTTTTTTGTGTTAATTAATAAAAAGGGGAATGAATTAGCTAGTAAAAAGAAAATATTTTTATGCCTTTTTATATTGATGAAAAGAGTATTAATGTTGAAAATGATAAAAAGGAAAATAAATGAGATATAGGACCAGCGTGCTGCTACAAGCAAAACAAACGAAATCAGAAGTTCTGAAGCTAGGAGCATTGTGACTCAGGAGGAAACGTCAGTGGGCATCCGAAGTTTTGGGTTGATAAACTCTGAGGTCCTGCAAGGAACGTTAGAGGGAAAATACAAAAGTTCTGGGTGGTATTCAGACAGTGGGCCAAAAGTCAAAAGTTCTGTATTACACTAAAACAGTGAGTAAACCTCAGAAATTCAGTGTATTGTCAGCACGTAAAAATCAGAAACTCTGAGTGTTTAAAAAGAGCGAATGGAAACATTGGAAGTTCTATGTATTAAAATGGTAAGTGAAAAATAGAAGTTCTGTGTTACATTTCAACTATTTCCTCATGTCAATCAGCACAACAATAACTTATTTAGTTTTCAACAAACATCAAATCAGAAGGATAAAAGCATAACAGTTTATAGAAGTTCTGATCCTGATTCTGAGTCTAGCCTTAATCAGGAAGTTCCGATTCACAATCTTTCTACTTACGCAGTGATACAGACAACATCAATACTATGATATCTACATGTTTAATGATGTTCTGAATGAAAAGATGCAGAGTCAGAAAGACTTAACTTGAACCTGGAGGGTGTATTTTGAACTTGAGCTGCTGTCTTCAGATATTCTGGAGTCATCCAGAGCAACAGAAGAGAAAATACCAAGTTCTTTTACTTCAAGGGAAGAACAAAGGTATTGGTTTTCTGTTTGGGAAGTATGGATTTTTTATGAAGGTTTCACAACTTTCTTTTCTCTCTTTGTTACAATTATCTCTCTCCAAAAGACAACCGGTTTTGTATTTTGTGTTTGCAGTTTTTGGACTCTTAGAATTTTTAGCAGGGGTTCGAGGCTCTTCTTTCTCAAATTTTCCGACCTCTTACAGTGGTCAATGAAGTTCAATTTATAGGCAAATATTTAGTAGTTTTTAGAGGTCAAGTGGCACCAACATCATATGCTAGGCGCTGACTTGTTCTTGAAGCAAGTTTAAACAAGCATGATTCAAGGCACAAAGTAGAATAGTTAGCAGTTTAGCAGCGCCTAAGCAGGATTTGTCAGCAAAAATTAAGGAAAAGCAAACGCAACTCGTGGGCCCAGCAGACTTTTGTATAAAAGTTTGCTTTTTTAAGACAATAGAGGTACACGTGAGGGAAATCCTTGGGATAAAGACTCAAAAGTGGTTGTGAGTATTAAATGATTATGAGATTTATCAAACCATAAATCCTTCAATGTGAGATTTTGCATCATTGCTTAATTCTGAATCAGAAGTTCAGCTTCAGCGTGACTTAGAATAGGCATCCAACTTCTGATCTTTGTATCTCCTTACTCCAGCATGTTTTGAAGAAGCTCTTAGACTTTCCAGAAAGCTTACAGCCTGCTAACCTTCTTTGAAATACTCTTGCAAACTCTGACTGAATCGTTATGAAAACTGGCCCAGAAGTTATAACCAAACATTGTCTTGGAATTGTCCAGAATTTACTGAGTGCTTCAGTTTCATGGACGTGTCTTTGAGGAGTTACAACTTGGAATCCCGGAATTTCTAGGAGAAGTTTCGTTCTGCAATGTTTTAGGTCTTATTGAGATCTAAAACTCTTGTGTTAGAAGTTCTTCTAGAATCAACTTGCATCATGGTGATAATCTGATCAGAAGTTCTGAGTTTGTCATATTTCTTAAACACTTAGAAAAATTCTAAGTATTTAGAAATTCGACTTTTCCAAAGTAACTGTTGACTTTTGAATTTCTAGATGAAACAAACTTCATATTTTAACATGTCTTGCTGAAATATGATTCTTGAAACTTAATTTTGATCCAAAAGTCAAATTTTGACTTTTTTGTGTGCAAATGACCATTTTTCCCTTGTGGATGATTTTCTTGGAAAATTTGTAATTCAAAGCTTGAAATTGGATGGGAACAAACCTGAGGGTTCAGGGTGATCCTCTGAGAAATGAGAGGGAAAATTTTGGGGTACAACAATTGCCCTTGTTCAATCTTCTTAAGCCTGAGGATGTAGATTGGCTGGTCAGCCTTTCGTGATCTGAAGGTGGAAGATGATTGGACAGTAGAGTGCCCAGAAATTTGCACTCGGTGATGTGATGACTAAGGGTATAGGGAATGGGCTTAAAGATGCCATTTGGAAAGCGACAGGGAATCGTCGGAGATGGGCTTAAAGATGCCATCCGGAAAATATCGGTTGCGTAAGAGATTCCTTGGCGAGAATTCATGTACCTGCCTTTGAGGGGGACTTTTCCAGGGAATGTTGATTTATGCACTAGGGAGTAAAGTCTAGGAGCTTTGGTTGTCCATTACTCTACTGGGGAATTAAATCTTGATTGAAGAGGTGAAAGTAGAATGTATACCTGGTCAAGGTCCAAGCTGTACAGCGGCTTACTGGGGAAATCTGAGATCGATCGTATCTGGTCGGGTCCAGGCCTCACAGTGTTGTAAACTGTTGTTTGGAGACAAGGGAGAAGGAACCTGGATAGTAGGGTTACTTCGAGATGAAAGCCTGGATAGTAGGGCTTGTGGGAAGGAACATGTGTAGTATGGTTACTTCGAGATGAAAGCCTTGGTAGTAGGGCTTCTGAGAAGGAACTTGGGTAGTAGGGTTACTTCGAGATGAAATCCTAGGTAGTATGTCTTGTAGGAAGGAACCTGTGTAGTAAGGTTACTTTGAGATGAAAGCCTGGGTAGTAGGGCTTGTGATAAGGAACCTATGTAGTAGGGTTACTTCGAGATGAAAGCCTGAGTAGTAGGGCTTGTGAGAAGGAACCTGTGTAGTAGGGTTACTTCAAGATGAAAGCCTGAGTAGTAGGGCTTATGAGAAGGAACCTGGGTAGTAGGGTTACTTCGAGGTGAAAGCCTAGGTAGTAGGGCTTGTGAGAAGGAACCTGTGTAGTAGGGTTACTTTGAGATGAAAGCATGAGTAGTAGGGCTTGTGAGAAGGAACCTGTGTAGTAGGGTTACTTCGAGGTGAAAGCCTAGATAGTAGGGCTTGTGGGAAGGAACCTGGATAGTAGGGTTACTTCGAGATGAAAGCCTGGATAGTAGGGCTTGTGGGAAGGAACCTGGATAGTAGGGTTACTTCGTCTGATCATGTAGATTAGTTGACCCGTTTGGTTTCGGGGACTGATCTTCCCTTGATTTCCTGCAGATATGACATATATAACTGCTGGAATTATTGGTAATAATTATGTTTCCTAAAAAGATAACAGGGTTAGTTATGTACGATGCATGAAATGCGTTATGAGATGATGTTCTCAAAATAAACGAGATTATGTTGTATGTGATATGTATGTGCATGTCATGATGCATGAGCATGTTAGTTGCGACATATCTGAGTCTGGGAAAATAAATCCCTGACTGCTGCTGGAGAAAATAACATTTCTAACTATTGTAGAGAACTGTGGCTTTTCTACTTCCGCTGGGGATGGTGAATGGCAGTGACTATACTTCTGTCAGGGGGAGATTTTATCTGAGAATACCTCTACGGGGAACAACTTGGAAGGTGAATTTCCATAGCTGAAGTAACAGGCTATGTCGGGGATTGAGCTCCTGCATCCAGAGAGATAAACTATGCTTGGGGAGTTTGAAGTTCATGATGGTCCATTCGTGATTACGAAATTTTGACGGGGAATATAGATGTCAGGTTC